GGTCTGGTTGCCCTCACTCAGGACACCAAAGCACTCTGCAACATGGAGCCAGAGCTGCCCCTGGACACTCTGGTGCTCCTCGTGGACGCGTTGCAGCGAGCCTGGCTGCACTTTCTGCAGGCTGCCATCCGGGAGATCCATCAGGGGGCTATCAGTATCCAGGAGGCCCTGCGGGAGAGCTTCCATCCCGAGGAGCACTAACAGTCTCCCTGGTCTACCCCCAGGGGCAGCCCGTAAGCATAGGCAGACTCGGCAGTCACCTAGGGTGATGATTATGTCATGGCCTGCTGATTATGTCATGGCGCCTGATGATTATGTCATGGCCATTGACGGCCTTGCAGGCGGGGGCACCGATCGCGCCTTCCGCCTGGGGCACCAGCTGCTGCAGCCAGCCTCGGCTCCTGTCTGCCCCTTTGGGGGCTTTTGCCCCATTCCTCCCTCACGTCCTTCCACTTACCTCCCCCCCATCCTCTTTCCTGATGTAAAATAAAATGCACATTTTTTCATAAACACGAACTGTCTTTATTTCCCCCAGGGGCAGCCCGTAAGCATAGGCAGACTCGGCAGTCACCTAGGGTGATGATTATGTCATGGCCTGCTGATTATGTCATGGCGCCTGATGATTATGTCATGGCCATTGACGGCCTTGCAGGCGGGGGCACCGATCGCGCCTTCCGCCTGGGGCACCAGCCGCTGATTGTGCCTCATTCCTCTCTCATGTCCTTCCACTTACCCCAACCTAACCTCCCTTCCTGATGTCAAATAAAATACACGTATTTTCATGAACACAAACTCTCTTTATTTAACAAAACTGGGGAAGAGGGAATGAGACTCTGGTGAGACTGGGGAAAGGAGGCGGGAGAAGGGAGGAGAGAGGGTGGGTGAAAAGAGGGGGAAACCTGGGAAGAGAGAGCTGGAAGGGGGAGGGGAAGCTCAGTGTTTGGGGTGGGAGTCTCGCCGGGCTAACTGTCTCCCAGCACCGTGGATGCGGGGGCCTCGGTGTCCCTGGGGGGATGAGGAGGAGTTGGAGGATGGGGAGGGAGCGGCGGGGGGGGGGGGGGGGGGCGGGGGGAGGGGGATGTGGAATACAAGAGTGCGTGAGGATCAGTGAGTCAGGTGGGTTGGGGATTAGGTTTGGGGTGTCCCACTCCCAGCCGGGCTGGCAGCAACAGCCAGGGAAAGTCCCTGCTACAGAAGCAGCTAGCAGGCAGAGGAGGATCCAGCTCCATTTCAGCCCCAGCTAAACTGATTGGGGAGGGGGCAGGGGCTGGGCTGTTTGCGGTGCAGGACTTGCAGTGCCCCCAGGTGCTGCTGCTGGTACCCCTCCACTGCACGGGTGGTCCTGCAGAGCCCTCAGGTGTGGGAGCATGTGCCAGCTGGTGCAGCTGTGGAGAAACAAGAGAAGTGGTCTGTTATCCCTGGAGACACGGTGGGTGAAGCCCAGCCCCTGTCTCAAGGTGAGGATGACTGTTCCTTGCACCATCAGAGCTGATGTGCTTGCACACAGGCCACGTTCAGAATGTCCTGCTATCCCCAGGAGTTGGAGCTGCCCCAAGACTGCACCCATGCCCCTGTGCTGTACCCCTGTGCTGCATATTCTGTGGGTGAGGTGGGGAGGGAGATGTCCCCTGCCTCTATGTAGAATGGCCTTGTGGAGGGAGCTCATTCTGCTGTGTCCCACCCCGGGGTCAGGAGAATGTCATGTCTCTTCACACCTGCGTGTGGCTAACAGTCCAAGGCCCCTGTGTAGCAGCCAGCTGGGGCCACGTGACCAGGGGTGGAATGGCACATGCTCACAAGTGCACAGGTTGCTGTGTGATCCGTAGTAAGCAAGGCCCATGTGTACGGTCCCTGGTCTCCCTCCCTACCCCCCAATAAGGGGACAGTGATGGCATTCACATGTTGTTGCCTCCCCGGATGACAGTGGTGACGGGTCTGCTGGGACAGCTCAGGGGTCCTGTCTGCATGGCACGCTCCCTCTGGGCTCCTGCAGCTCCTCCTCCATGCCCTGGTCTTTGCCTATCTCCTAGAGCTGGAAGGGACCTTGAAAGGTCATCGAGTCCAGTCCTCTGCCTTCACAGCAGGACCAAGTACCATCCCTGGCAAATTTTTGCCCCAAATCCCTAAATGGCCTCCGCAATGGTTGAACTCACAACTCTGGGTTTAGCAGGTCAATGTTCAAACCACTGAGCTATCCCTCTGCTCCAGGATCGATGAACGGACTGTCCCGCCCCCCCCTAGGATGCAGTCCAAGGCATCAAAATAGGGACAGGTGTCTGCCCCTGTTTGGGAGTTGCCCCCTGGAGTCCTGGCTTAGGCCTGCCACAGCTCCTTAATTTTCATGCGTACCTGCTCCTGGGTGCGCATGTGGCCTTTGGTGGCCAGGCTGTCGGCCATCCGCCTGTAGATGGCCGCATTCCTCCATCTAGTGTGGAGATTGTGGACATTGGAGGCCTCCCCCCAAACCTCAATCAGGTCCATGATCTCCACACTGGACCAGGAAGGTGCCCGCCTTCTCCAGCCCCTGGCAGGTTTTTGGGAGCTGGGGGACTGGGCCTGGGGAGCAGTGGAGGGCTGGCTGGCACTGTCTGCCTGGCTCATGGTAGGGCTACTGGGTATGGGGCAGTGACTGCTGGCTCTGTGTTGGCAGGCCTGGAGTTGGCACAGGCACTGTGACCAGAGTCTACCCCTTTAAGGGCTCCGGGGCTGGGGGAGAGGAGAGGAAGTTTTCCTGGTTGTGTACAGAGTGGCCACCAGGGCACCCTGGGAAGGGCTGGAGGCCCCCAATTTTGAAATAAGCATCTTCACAGCACTTATTTTGAACTAGCTATTTCAAATTTGGTGTTATTCCTCATAGAATGAGGTTTACCAAATTCAAAATAAACGTTCCGCTACTTCAAACTAATTTTGAAATAGCAGTTTGGCTGTGTAGATGCTAGGAAAGTTATTTTGAAATAACGGTTGTTATTTCAAAATAACTTTGCTGTGTAGACATACTCTTAAGGATTATTTTGACCAAAGTAAAGGCATATTGTAAATGCACTACAGGGTGGGGAGAAGGGTGAGCTGAACAGTGTAACCTGTCGCTTATCAAGGGAAGGTAAGACAAACAAATAGGAGCTAAGGAGGCTGAGCTCTAATTTATCATAAATTGTGTTCATGTGATGCCAAACTCTTGCTAATGTTTACACTAAAGTTTTTACATGGCCTTCATACTCCTAGTATCTCAAAGTTTTGTATCATCAAGAGCACCTCAGACTCATGGCTGTTATACAACATGGTCCTAGAATAGAATATTTTTTTTGCCAGTATGCCTATGTAACTCATGTGTAAACTCGTTTTTAATTCACTGGGTAGAATAAATTACTGTTTTCACAGACAATAAGATCTTAGTCGCTAAGCTGCTTGAAAGCACTCTTGCTATAATTAATGGCCATTTACATAGCAATATAACACTTTACACAATGGAGAATACCACCCAGTTCTGTTCTTCAAATAGGTAGAAAGCCCCAATCCCAGAAGGTGCTCAAACCCCTGCACCCAGATGGATTAAAATAGATAAGATAGAACATGAATAAAGATCAGTGCAGGTGCAGGAGAGCAAAGGAAGATTCCTGGAAGTGAGGTTTAAAGGGAGATTGGGAGGAGGAAGGAAAAGGGTGCTTAGCAGGTAAAAATGTTAAAGACATTATGTAGACTGATGTGGAAAGCAGGAAAACCCATGAATGAGTTCAAAGGGGGAAGAGTAAAGTGGTTCAAGTTTTTCTTTTCACATTTGCAGAACTGCCCACGTAGGTTGTCATATTTGCATTACTGTGTGCAGACTCATGAGACAAACTGTACATATCAGGTGCCTTTCACTGTCTTGACCAGGCTCTTTTCATTAATCTATACCCCCAGACACCTATTTTAGTATTCAGAACTTCTAAGCAACTTCAAACACTTCCCACCCTTTTCTTAATTAACCTGACAAAAATATTTCTTCATCCCTAAACTACAGTATAGCCTAAAGTGAAGGCTGGAAATTATTCAATGAGTAATACAGCCATCACAAGTTTATGCCCAGGAAAACTTTTACACCACATCACAAGGTATTCAAGTATAGAATATTATATAGAATACATAATTACACATACCTGATAAAACTGCAGCCCCATGTGGTGTGCTGTATTTATTATCTGCATTTGGAAAGTGTGTACACTGTTTCTTTAACTCTTATGCAGAAAGAGAAGAGTGAGGGGGCTAAGAAAGATTGTGAAGAAGCAGCTCTACAGTGAAGCAGAGAGAGGTAGTAGTTTCAGTGATGAATACTCATTTCCTTATTCTAATAAAGTTTTTTATTCAGTATTAAAAGAAAATTACTTTTTAGCAATTTTTTATTATTGCCAGATGTCAACACTAACTCAATTATTTATGTTGCCCATTCATCTCCCTTCTCTCGAATTTATTCTAACATATCAAGCAATTTCCAACAGACACCTTTCTGAAAAAAAGCCTGCCACAAAAGTATGCCACATGCTTTCATTGTATGCTTGGTCCCCATATCCACTGATGTAATACAAGTAAGTTGGAGAAAACTAAGTGAGAAAGTGAAAAATGGAGAAATAGGATGACATTGGGAAAGAAAACTATTGACTGAAAGTAACAGAAGATCTGATAAAAGGTGGAATAATTGTCTAAAGAAAGAGAAGCTGTTATCCAGACCGGACGAAGGACTGGACCTGGAGACAATTTTGCGGAAAATCAATCTCAGTAGGTTTACTCTAAATCAGGACTGGGGGAATCTGGATAAGACCCCTGGCTTGCCTGGATCCAGCCCCAAGACTAAGGCTCTGGTGTGCGAGGGAAATGGAGGGAATGTCTGTCTCCTTCTCAGTCTGGAGCCACTTGTACGTGGTCCTCGAATGATTTTTCTGTGGATCCATGGCCCCCCAGCCCAAAAAATGTTCCCCACCCTGATTCCCTCTCTCTCTGACACACAGAGTTTATCAAACAGAAAAAACAACAACAATGGTTCTTTGGTGTACGCTATTTTAATGTGACCACACTAATTGAGGGAAAACAGTACCTGGATTTGAGGAACATGTGCAGCAGCATACAAAAAGGTAGAGGCCTCTTCCTCCCACTCACACCATATTGGAAACAAAGCCTCACAATTAGCTTCACTGGGATTTGTTCAAGTAAATGTTTGCAAAATCAGGCCCTAGCCAACCAACCATTAAAAACTCCATGTCTATACCAAAAAAGTAGAGCTAGCACTAGCACTGCAAACTCTGTTTTCTTAGTATGAATGACTCATGTTGAGTCATCTCTGCTTAGGCCAGATAATGGTTCCTCAAACTATATAATAAGTTTCACAAACAGAAGACACAACCTTCATAGAAGGGCTGAAGTGAATGAAATGGGGGTTTGTTGGCTGCAACACCAGATATACAGAAGCTCGTCTGTTTTGAACATTCACTACAGCCAAGCGTGGGGTATTCTTCTCAGAACATTGGTCACCTGCTGAGAGTCTGAATTGAATTAGGTTACATTATAATTGGATTTTCCTAAGGCATTGCATTAGCATTTTCCATGATCTCACCCTTATTAGCCAAATCATTAATCAAGAGTTGTCTGCTAGTTAAATTATTTGCTGCTACAGTGTCTGTAAGCCAGCTTCATACCCATACAGAGAGACAGAGCTCCTCATCTCTAGCTTCAATGGACACTTTTTTTTTTTCCATCTGTGGCTTTTATGCCACAGACAAAGTTGCAGTGCAACTCTGGTTTCTAAAAAATCATGATAAAATAGTTATTCTCTAGAGAATGGTTAATTTAGGATTTTGGTCATGTTTCTCTTGGTCTGCGTGACCAAATAAGGCGGGATTTGTCTCCTTGAATGCAAAAAACAAAGCGGTTGGGGGAATTAATTTAATTGCAGAGAAATCTTTTCCCAGGGATTGTTTTCCATTGGGTCTGAATTCAACTGCTGAAAACATTTAATCTTCAAAGGTTATTATTTTAATGCAAAAGTCTTTGCACATAAATGGAAATTAAAATGGATTGTTATAAATGTGGGAATTCTCCTGTATATGTCTGTGAGGGTTGGTAGGTCCACTTGAAAACTCTGCCTTGGTACAATTTAGGAAGGCGTGGTGTGAAATTAGACTCACGCTTAGAAATTTCTACTGATTTACAAAGAACATCCATTAGATGTTTCATGGGATCTACTGTTTAAGGCGCAAGGCTTACCCCTATGTAGTGGCTCTGATAGAGAACAGTCCTAAGAATTCTAACTAAATATATGAAAAACTAAAGACACAACAAATAGTCTAGTAGCACCTTAAAGGCTAACAAAGCATATAGATATTAGTCTTTAAGGTGCTGCTAAAGTATTTAAGTTGTTCCAGTTACAGAGTACCTCGGCTACCCCTCTGAAGCTTTTAAATATATGAAGGGAGAGAGCAGTTATACTGTAAGCAGATTACATCATGCAGTATTTGCCAAATATCTGACATGATGATTTCCTATAAAGTTGCATGGTTTAAACAGAACTATTCAATTAATGTTGTTGTGTTATCAAATTCAAAAGGTCAGACAATTACGTTTACATTGTTCATTATTAAAATCCTCTGGAAGTAGAAACTTGTTTTCACTATCAGTATAAATCAGTGGAATATTTCCATGAATATTCCATTGACCCAAATATGTGCACAAACACAGAATTATGATAATAACCTATGCGTGCTTTAGTCCCAAGCTTTTTGTTACAGAAATCAATGGAAGAAGTGGACAGGACTTAAATGGGAGCAGGTTCAGGGTCTACCATGGAAAATTGGACAACATGCAACACAATTACAATTTTATACAAAAACTGTGAAAGAGTAGGACTGCCATTTTTATCAGTCAACCAATTAGTAAAAATGTTTATTACGGAAGCACCTAAGGACCAACTAAAAATGGCCCACCTTCATACTAGGCACTGTACAAACACAGTAGTAGACAGCCACTTCTCTAAAGTGCTCCTATCATTCCAATAAATATATATTCCAAGAAATGAGAGCAGAATTCAAAATGGCACAACAAATGATTTTCAGAACTTAAATAAAGTGGGCTGTGATTCTTACACTGGATCACAATATCAATGTGCTTAAACATTTTATATTCAAATCAGATGCAACATCTTCTTAATCCACAGCAATTTAACATTGAATCATAAGAAGTTTCTATCAAGCCCTATAGCCAGCCTGGGCAGCAACTTCCACAAAAGGAAGAAGGGTAGTGGTGGTTCCCCAGATAATTCAATCAGTTCTTGAAGATCCTTGTGTAGATTCTGTGTCTCCATCACCACCACCACCCAGATACAAATAACATGTACTGGACAGATATGGGGGCTATAAGCAAAAATAATGAACAATAAAGTTACAAGGAAACATCACACTGCCTCTCAGTCTTTCATGGTATGGGAGCATGTGTAATTCATCTGCACTTCTCTAGCTCACATGCTTTCAGTGATGAACTTCTTTCTTTGAGGAAGTATCTGCAAGTAAATGAATACAAATGTTTTAAAATAAAAATATTAACCCACTTGTGATTAATTTCCCTTTCTTTTCTTGATTTTTTCCCCCTAAAGAATTTAAGTTCCATATAATCAAAAGCTGACTGTCCCGACAAGCATACAGAAAACCAAAAGAGAAACAAGATGGGTTAGGAATGCCATTATTTTAAATAGTGATCAGTGGTTACCATTTCCATAGTGAACTGTGACATCTTTCAGATACCAGATGCAGAAGTATATGACAAGACCTAAATGCCACAACCTTGCATCTAGGGTAGGTTGTTTAAAAAAAAACCACCCCCCACACTTCTGCAAAGTGGTAATAAAATGTGTCATTCACTTTTGGCCGAGGTTTATGCCCACTTTGCAGAAGTGTAAAAGACTACATAAGGTACAAGGCAGTGACAAATCTAGTATTAACAACTCTTAGCACATCTGTGGTTCAAGCATGTGTCTGTGATAATAATGCAAGTGAGAGTGAACAAAATGTCACCACAGAAAGGAAAATACAGGATTGCCAACATCACACATATCATCCTTTCTGAAGAACTTTCAGCAGAAGTTCCTGAAATGTTGTAACATATTGCTAGGAAGACATGAAAAAAGGCACACAGCACATCACTTACAAGCAAAATATTAAGACAACAATAGGAAATGCTCCCAAAGTATTCTGAGTTCTCACTATGGCAGGAGAGAATAATGTACAGCCAGGGCTGGCCTTACCATGAGGCAAACTGAGGCAGCAGCCTCAGGTGCCAGACTGTGTGTGTGTGTGGGGGGGGGGGGAGGAACGCCACTAGGACCCAGAGAATTTAGACCTTTCAAAGTTTAGGCCCAAGCAAGGGGGCATGGGAGCGTAATTTGAGCTCCCCGCCTCAGGTGCCAAAATGTTGTGGGCTGGCCCTGTGTACAGCTCCAATATATTACATGTCTTTACTTCTAAAATTTACATTAGTAGACATCCAACTGCAGTAAGTTCTTTACTCAGAAGCCAACCACAAAACCCACTAGCCCTTTGGTTCACAATTGAAGAAAGAATTTGTACGAACATTCTGACAAGAGAAAAATCAAATCCAAAAGGTACGTATTCATGACAGGAGATGAAGAGGCAACATTGTGGGAATTCCCGGTTTTTATAATAGAACTCTTCCTCTGTTTGTAATACCTATAGCTAGAAGCCATTTTCTGTTTCTGTGCTAAATTAAATGAGTATAGGATGGATGATAATTAGATAAATATTTCTCCATTTGTAAAAACATACATGCAGAGTTTCTGTTCAGCTGACATGCCATGGGGATTACTTATCCTCATACCTGGAAGGGTCACTTTACCTTTGATCGTATTATAGTAGGACACCACAGAATCAGAAAAAGAAGCAGAATTTACAAGGCAATCGACGACTCATGGTAAACATTTTGAAAAAAGGTCTCGTTAGGCCTAATTCTACCTAGTCTAGATAGACTCCTGGGTCCCCCGCTCCTCAGACCTGCACACTGGACAATGCAAGATCAGAGCTAGAGAGATATTTTCTTTCCTTATTTCTTCTTACTGTGGACATTTGTCTAAACATGTAATCCTGTGGCTGGATTCTGATCTGAAACGGATGTAAATCAGAGTTACTCCAAATTTGCATGAAGAACGGAATCCCATTTCTGAACACTGTAGCATCAGCAGCAAATGCTACAGAAATGAATTAGTCATAAGAAGGAATGATGATTTCAGGTAAGATGCAAGCAGAAGAACTCTGTTGCCCTTTGTTTTTGTAGTCATTTATACCTAGGCAAGTGAACAAAAACCCTACCAGAAGAGTAGAATTTTACACCTATTTTGCAGAGGTATAAATAACCACAGAGGGTACGTCTACACTGGCCCCTTTTCTGAAAGGGGCATGCTAATTTTACAGGTCGTAATAGGCAAATCCGCGGGGGATTTAAATATCCCCAGCGGCATTTAAATAAAAATGTCCGCCGCTTTTTTCCAGCTTTTAGAAAAGCCGGAAAAGAGCGTCTGCACTGGCCCGATCCTCCGGAAAAAAGCCCTTCAAAGTAGGAATAAGAGATCCTCCGGAAAAGGGCTTTTTTCCGGAGGATCAGGGCCAGTGTAGATGCTCTTTTCCGGCTTTTCTAAAAGCCGGAAAAAAGCGGCGGACATTTTTATTTAAATGCCGCGGGGGATATTTAAATCCCCCGCGGATTTCCCTATTACGACCTGTAAAATTAGCATGCCCCTTTCGGAAAAGGGGCCAGTGTAGATGTAGCCAGAATGTATAAGGCAGTGGGGAATTCAGGCCACTGTTTTCATGTTAATATCCTCAGTAATTAATAAAAGGGTGAAACACCTAGATGCTATAAGCAGAATTATTTATATAAAAACAATTTATCAAAGGTGCCTGTAAAATGTCAGTATCTATAACTTTTTAAAAAGTTAGAGGAAAATTATAGTGGGAGAGCTAGATTCTCAGTGCTTCATGTAGAACTGAGGTCATGATGGCCTCAAGCCACCTTTGGTCTCCCCAGATCCTGATGACTATTGGAGGCCACTTCAATTCCTGGCATAAGTTAGAACAGCATAGAGGTTTCTAATTTATGCCCCATTTCCCATGGCCCCAAAGGGACACTCTAGCAGTTGAGCCAACTGCAAGAGCACTGCAGGTATGTTCCCTTCACAGACAAGGTGATGAGGTTCAGCTGCCACAATTTACACAAGAAGAATCCCCTGGTAAACTGCTTAGTTTGCCTTTCTGGCTGCTTTTTCAGCAGTGCAAAGCAATTGGCACTGGAGTCTAAATCTGGTCCATAATATTTCATGTTCCAAAAAAGTGCTGGGGTGAAAAGAGACAGAGGGAACGGGGCCTTCACTTAAGCAGGAATCAGGCATGCTGGTGATTTAAGAGGGCCCAGGGCTCTTGGTTGCTGCTGCCACTATGGTGGCGGCTGGAGCCTCGGCCTTTTAAATCACCACTGGAGCCCCAAGCTTCATGCTCTGAGCTGCACTAAGGCTGGCAGGGAGAGTGGGGGGCAGGCGCCCTTGGTGGCGCTAAGGGTAGGCTGCTGCAGCCTTGCCCCTTCCACTAGAGGCCCTTCCCCTGGACACACACACCTTGCCCAAGGGCCCAGAAAGTCTGTCATCCCCCCCTCACCAGAATAGTGTATTTTTGATAGACTAAAGTAGTGAACACAGTACTTTCAAAGCTGTGACATCTACATTAGTCAACAAAGGGCATGGAACTAATTTTGCATCTCCTTTAGATAATGGATGAAAAAGGAATTTCCACATGGCAAATGAATGTTTCATGAAACTAACAGGAAAGGATCTAACATCTGTGTATTTATAGTATATTACTGAAAGGTCAGTATTAACACTGCCATATGAACGCACTATGTAAATCAGAGAGAAACAAGTTACTATAAAATGTCTCAAGATTTTCCCAGTGTCTTCAATCTAATTTAATATTAGCTTATCAACATATCTGAAGCTATTTAAAATAGACTCAACCATTTATTGACAGCAAAGCAGAAGTGAGTATGTATTGGAACATCCTGTTGTGGAGTTTGGACTGCTAGTATTTAAAACCATACTATTGTTTACATTTTGTATCATACTTTCTCAGTGGTCATCTCCAACTGGTGTTCAGCTGAAACAGTGGGGAATCTTCAGTGCTCTTAAGTTGAAGGTGGATTTTTAAATCAAAATTAGAAAACAAAAACCAAAAAACCCCCAACCGCCTTCTGATATTTGAGGAAACAGAAATTGTCGCCCATCCTCAATGTGCGTATGATTTGTATTATAGTGGGAGAAAGGTAAAATCTGAATCTTTATAAATATGAAGAGGAAGAAAACGTGATTTAGAACCAATAAACATTAGTGTTGTCCACACTTTTCCAATTGCAACTAAATGTCTTATATAGCCCTGGATTCTGTTGCATTCTGTAAGACTTCTGGAAGTAAATCACTTAGGTGCCTGTAAACATACACCATGTTTCCTCCCAAAGTGCATAAGCATGGCCTCACGACTTTACCCTTGGGTACAGCTTGGTGTTTCTTACCAGACTACTAGAAGCAACAGCGGGTGCCTTAAAAAAAAAAAAAAAAAAAACTGCAGTTGTACAAGAGCCAATGAGTCATTAAATACACCATAAAAAAGGAGAAAAACAAACATTCATTGTACATTTAAAAAAATTAGGCTTCAAGTGTCTGAACTACTTCCATAGCCTGCAGCTAGAGGCGGCCTACGCAGTCTCTTAGTTCTTAAACTTTTTTGGAGGATATTTTTCTAACCTCTAGGGCCTACTGAGACAATTTCTGGGTGAATAATATCTACATTAAAATACCTAAAGCTGCAGGCACAGTTTTACAAAGTAACTTAATTGTTCACTATTAAGTAGTCTGAAGATAAATAAAATACAAAGAATATATACACTTGTAACCCACACACTAAGGCTACATCTACACTGGCCCCTTCTTCGGAATAGCCATGCTAATTTAGAACTTTGGAATAGGGAAATGCTCAGGGGATTTAAATACACATGGCCGCCACTTTTTTTCCGGCTTGGGGAAAAGCCGGAAAAGAGCGTCCAGACTGGCGCGATCCTCCGGAATAAAGCCCTATTCCGGAGGATCTCTTATTCCTACTTTCAAGTCTGGACACTCTTATTCAAGTAGGAATAAGAGATCCTCCGGAATAGGGCTTTATTTAAACGGCCATGTTTATTTAAATCCCGCGGGGGATATTTAAATCCCCCGCGCATTTCCCTATTCCAAAGTTCTAAATTAGCATGGCTATTCCGAAGAAGGGGCCAGTGTAGACACAAGTGTGGTTACTGAGCAATGCAAGTGGTACCTAGACCACAGAAACAGCTAAGATCAAGAGACCTCTACAGCATGGGCTGGGAGCCAGCTGGCTTTTAGCTCAGAGGGTAGAGGCTCTTATACTCTGCTTCAGAGATCCCAGGTTCACATGTGCCTGGTGGTGGTTACACACTGTTAGACATAAATACCCCTTTATACACCCACCATCACTGGTTTGGGACTCTGCAGCACTCTAGGGCATATCAAATTTTCATGAGACAGTTGAAACCCTTTGAATAATTGGGGACGGATGTTTGGAGATGATCAAGCATGCTCCTGCTGCAGACTTCAAAATCTGTATTCAGGTCCTCCCAATGGAGTTCAGCTTTTTAAGGCTGACAACAGCTCTCCCCAGTCATGGCCAGCCAGTTTGGGCTGCTCTGGGGATAACTGGCTCTACGTGACAGCCTCGTGCACCGAACTCTTAAAGATTTAAGGGTTAACGTACATACACTCAGCCAACCAGCTTCCTCCAGACCAGCTGGCTCTGCAGCATACAGCTTTAAGGCTTAAGCACTTCAGTACACAAGCACTTAAGGGTTGGAGAGCATACAGAGAGACTGACAGCTTACCCAAAACCAACTAGTTCAGCAGATTGTAGTAGCATTAAACAGCAACAGGCACTTTACATATAGCCAAATCTCCCTTGTGTGTGAAACACCATGTTATATGAAACAGCTGGGGAATACAATCCTGATTAAAATAAACAGGAGGTTAATGAAAAGTGAGGTTTAATAATCAACACTCTGTCTGTAAATCCCCAACCAATGCCAGAGCCAAATGTGGCAACTTAGATCTACATGTAAACAATCCTCTGCTAACTCTACCGAAAGAGAGACAAGTTGTCTGCAGATGAGGGGAGAAAACAAAAACAAAACAAAACAAAACAAAAAAAACCAGGAAAATGAAGGCAAGATTGGGAAAGAAAACAGAAGATGCTCCATATTTCTGCAGGCAATTAAAATATTTCAGGGGTGATTCTGGTTTCCATGGAATTTTCCTATTCCTAATTTCACTACATTTTTCTAGTTCTATTTCTTCATACTTCACCTATGAAGTCCTCAGAACCCTCCCCCCAGTGTTAATTACATTTCAAATATTACATATAGTATTTATTTTAATAGCACCCCACATGTGCAAGGTACCTTTGCACAGATAACATGGGGTGAAGTCTTGGTCCCACTGAAGACTTGGAAAGCTCTTATTTACTTCACTCAAGCTAGAATTTGATAATGGTCCCTGCTCCCAGGAGTTTACAGACCAGATTGGCAGGACATGACTAGGGGATTAACAAAACAATAAGGAGAAGTAGCACAGGAACAACACCTGTAAGATTATGCTGTTACTTAGCAATCAAAGGTTTTCCCCTCTAGGGAGACAACAGCATTTTTTTGCAAAAGCAGCTGGTCTTCAAACGAGAGAGTATAATGGCTTTGCAGACACGCTCAGTTCAGAAAAGGGGTTCTATACACCAGGAAGAGACCAAGAATGTGTTCATGAAAGGCAGAAAAACATGGCATTGAGGCACTATTGGCAGAGCAGTGTGTATGGATGGGATGAGGGAGTGGCAGCAATGTTAAAAGGAGGCAAGGTTAGAAACACACTATTAAAGTGTGTGTGCGTGCGCACGCTTCAAGTGGAAATGAAGCAATTTAACAGGCATTTGTCAACCTCAGGTATATGCTGTCAGTTTCTGAATATACTGTGTTAATCTACAGGATGTCCATTAAAATATTTCGTTAGTGTGTTGCTGAAGATTATAAAAATCACATCGCTAAAAAAGAGTTTCCTGCGCCTCCTCCCCACTGCCATTGGGCATAGGGGCACCAGTTTAATAGTACTGAGTAGAACCCCCTAAATCCTAAGAATAGAACTATATACAGGCCACTGCCTCCCAGCTCTGATGTTTGCCTTTGCAACTTCAGTGGCTTTATGGCAAACTACGCATATAGAATACTTTGTGTAAACATTAGGGCCTGGTCCAAAGTCCACTGAAGCCAAAATAAAGACTCCCATCAATTTCAATACAGAGCTGGACAAAGTTTTTCAGCTGAATTTATTTTTTTGGATTAGAAAAAAACAACAATGGAGATTTGGCAACATCTTTTTTTTTTTTTTTTTTAAACAATTTCATGTTGCTTTCACCAAGCTGATCTGGTTTTTTTTCCTCTCTCCCATAAGAGGAGAAACATTTCAACATTTTCATAAAGAAATGTTTTGGTGGCTTCGACCTGCAACGTCTTTTATTTATATATTTCCTTCAATTTTATTTTAACACCCCCGCCCCACACACACACACCCCCCTCAAAAAACTCAAAATCTAAAATCATTTCGGTTGCTCCAAAATAAAATTTGATTAGATTTTTCAGATATTGTGAAAAATTTCAAGCTCCACCTAAAACCAAAATTTTATTTTATTTTTGATTTTTCAGAACCCTCATTGAACTGAAAAATCCATTCATCATGCAGCTTTACTTCAGGGATTTTTGGATCAGACTCTTTCATGTTCCACTACCTATAGCCATATTGATAGAGTACATGCAGTCCCCGACTTACGCGGATCCGACTTACGTCGGATCTGTAGTTACGAATGGGGCTTTTCTCGCCCTGGAGGACGCGGGCGGCGGGACTGCGGTGCGTCTGGGCGGTCCCGCCGCCCGCATCCTCCGGGGCGAGAAAAGCCCTGTTCGTAAGTACAGATCCGACATAAGTCGGATCCGCGTAACTCGGGGACTGCCTGTACCCTAATTGTCATTGTGAAAAGATGGATAAAATAAACATGAAGTTTTTAGGCCATGAAAGTTTTGAGCTATGTTCCAAAACGCGGGCAGCGGGACCGCCCAGACGCGCCGCGATCCCGCTGCCCTCGTCCTCCGCGGCTTTGCTCCGCGTCTCCCTGGTCTGCTTAGAAAGACTAAAGGATTTGGCCCTATAACATCAATCCAGGGATAGATTCTTTTGGAAAAAAACCTGCCTTGTGATATCACACTGATTTGTTACCTTTTTAAATCTTTTTTCTATGGTGCCATAATTTTTAAGCACTAATTTAGGAGAGAAATCATTAACACATCAGGTTAGGTTTATGACCTAACTGGGCATATCCAAGCTAGGATAAATGATCCTTCTGAAATTCTGCTAACTACATTGTGAATGAATGTATAAACATTATTGTACTCAGATGGTCCAAAATGAGAGAAGACAAAAGGGGACAACTGAATATTTCTGTGTTTCCTTCGGTTCTCCTCCTCCCCAATTCATTTTTTGAATTTCAAAATTCAGTGTCTTTCCAAAACTTTTAAAAAAAAAGACAATTAGCTTTAACTGTAGTCGCTCTTCTTAAGAGAAATCAGTTTGTAATAGACACCCCCAAATTCAGGGCTTCCTTAATATTAATGGCTTTGACTATCAAAAATGCAACCCGCAGTGGCTCACTGCAGCCCTTTCTATGCTTATCATTTCTCTAAAGTTACAGATTAATTATATACAATAGGTCAAAATTATGCACTTTTGCTGCAGCTGGCGGTATACGAGGAGAGAGGGCGAATGCTCCTTGTACGTTTCAACTCACTGAGTTTCCAACTGATTTTCCTGTGTAAGCGGGTGGGCTTGGCCCCTTTCCATCACTAGTGGTGGAACACACAGGCAACTTGGCTTTAAAAGAGCTTTTTAGACATGGGAGAGTCAGAAGCACACTCAAGGACACAAAGGAAGAAATGGATGGATAGAAAGAAGAGGGGCATTCCTCAGATCCTACAGTAGAAACATACTGAACTTCACACAGAACTTCATCTGCAGTTGTTCCCAACCTCCGCTCTCATGTGTTCACAACATGGAGAGCTGGGGTATGATACAATCAGTATCCTTCTGTGCAGTCAATTCCTATAGGTTTAAAAGGGAAGACGCCATAAACTAATTCCATCTCCTTGCTCTCTGCCCTGAGCTCAGCATTCCATTCCCTCTCACCCCATCGAAGCCTCAGGCTGCCTCATGCTTTAGGGAAGGAGTCCATACATTTTAACAGATGGTGCTGATTTCGTGCACTGCATCTCCTCCATGTAACTGCTGGAGAACAAGTGGCCATATAGCTTCCCACTTGGATACTGCAAGATAGACTTAATAATTATCTGTGTCATGACCTATGCTATCCATACACACTGCAGATGGATACGTGCAGGGACACTATGCAATACATAGCAGTATAAATTTAACTTCACAGCTCAGAATGGTGTAAGTCACTTGAGAGGTCACCTTGAAGAAAATGGGGATTAGCAAAACAACCCGAAAGTTTGTAAAGTGAAAGGGAAGAAAAGGGGACTTGGAATTCAAAACAGTATTCTTCCCCCTCATCCTCCCTCCCAGCCAGCCCTAATCTCTATAATGATCAGAATCAAAATTCATAGATGCATACCTTTGTGTGGTTTCAAATCGGGATCCTAATTTTGCACATCAAACCTCATCTTTTGAAAATAAAGAATATGCTCATTTGTCTTCAAGTGCCATTAATAATTGATACTGGCTAAGTACCTAGCAACTTCAACCATTCGGGGACCAGTTCTAGGCCTTATTTTGTGCATCATCAGGTGACATTAATGTCTCTGTCACTCAAGCCAACAAGCAGACATTTCAATCTGTATCTTTTCTATGTCGCGGGGGGGGAGAGGGATCTTGCCTTTTGTTAACAGAGATAACGGTTAGAACCTGCTTTATTTCTCACCCTGAGCTCAGCATTATTCTTATTTCATGTTAATGGGGGCATCAGATGCTCTAAAGGCCATCTCTGGGAGTTCAATGTGGCATTTATACAATTCTGTAATATACATTATAAAAAGAATGTTTTAAGGATCACAATGAAGTTGAAACCTTTAGCATAGATGGCACCCAGTAGAACCTACATCCTCTGTCCTGTGTGTCAACTGCAGCCTTATAAAGTAGAGCCTTAAAGCAAGTATGCAACATCTACATATGAAAGTTTACTAAAAAGGTCTCATTAAAAAAAGTGAATTCACAGTATGTTCAGTACAGCTGTTGTCTTACCATTTGCCTTGTGCTGCACATCTGGCGGAAACTGGTCCGGAACATACCACTGATAGTCTGGCTGCACAAAACAATAAAACATTATTACAGCAATATGGACTTCATAGACACTTCAAACAAAAGAATAGTGGTATGTTAAAAATATAATTATGCTGTGTAGCTTTTTATTAGTCATACAAAAGCAATTTACAAAAAAAAAAAAAAGAGATTTAGCTCTCAATTTCTACTGGTTGAGCTTTTCAGCTCATTTTTTTTTCTAACATGTGTTTGAATGCCGTGCACAGTATAAACAGTGGCATAAACTTTTCTAAATGCCACAAATCAAAGCCAACATTAGTAACATCAACAAATCAAATTTTCAACAATCTTATGAACACTGCAGATAGGGAGTGAGAAGTCAGGGAGTGAGAAGTCAGGGAAATAGAAATAGGCCTGCAAACTTTTTAAACATTTTTAAAAAAAAAAGGAAAAGTAGGACCAATGCAAGCAATTAAGAAGCTAAGAGAATGGAATGCTTTGACATAACAGGTGAAGCTGTTCCAATGTGAAAGTGTGCAAAGTTGGTCAGCATTGGTTTTTAACACTATTTTAGAGCTGTACTACTCAGTCCTTCTACAGAGTTAGATCAATGTATCTATCACATTAGATAGCATCACATGCTATCTTGAATATGTTGTAGGTCAGGGAAATTATGTTTAACTTCTTTTCTACAAGAGGACAATACCAAGATTGGGTCTCAGGGTGTGTCTACACTGCACCATTATTTTGAGATAACTAGCATGATTTTGAAATAATGCCAGCATCTACACAGCCATGCTGTTATTACGAAATAATTCTGAAATAATGGATGGCTTATTCCAAAATCTGTAAACCTCATTCTATGAGGAATAACGCCTATTCCGAAATAGCTATTTCAAAATAAGGCATGTGTAGATGCTCCACTGCTGCTATTTTGAAACAGCCCCTCACCAGAGCCATTCTAAGTTATCCCTCCCCAATGCCTCCAGGGGCTCTAAATCGACATAGCACATCTACATTAGGGAAGCCTGCCTGGGCTAATTTTGAGGCTTCCCTGCAGTGCAGACATGCTATTTTAAAATAAGCTATTTTGGAATAACTATTCTGGAATAGCTTATTTCAAAATATGCACGCAGTGTAGATGTATCCTGTGTCCCTAAATTGGGCTGCTAGGCATTTCTGTAATACAAATAAATAAAGACAAGGATATTGCTTTGAAAATTTCTCCACATTTATCACGGGGAGCAGGGAAAATTTCTTTATTTTAAACACAAAATATGGTAAATAACTACCTGTCCATTATTTCTCAGAGACCATTTTATTAAACTGTTTTCTAAATTAGGATTAAGCCCTCATGTATTTGAGCATTTTCAAAAGCTTTCTAACCTCAGTTGGAGCAGTGTCAAACTTTCTGTCTAGCTTCAAACAGATAAGGGATAGCTGTGAAATGCCATAGATCACCACCCTCAATTAATTAATTGGAAAGGTAATTTCTATGGTCTATGGTCCTTGTTTTGCAAGAATCCCTCCAGCTAAGTTGCCATTTTCCCCTAGAGAATTTCAGTGTATCCATCCTCACTGCAAAGAAACTTCACTGAGGAATTTTGCCTAAGTTAGAACTGCAAGATTGGACTCTTGTTATGGATAATGACTAAGGTTAGTAAAATCTAAATCCTGTTGCAGTTATGTAACATTATTCAAGAAGTGGCCATAAACCTAAAGAACCTGAAGTCTTACTATAACTGGAAGTAGCACTAATGTTCTATACTTTACACAAAAATTACTAATTTAAGCCAAAGCACCTAAGGACACACTTAACAGTCCAATTGACTTCAAGTTAAGCTTGTGCTTAAGAGCTTTACTCTAGTCAGTTTATAATGCACACGCAGTTCTCTAATTCACTACTTCTTCTTTTCTCTTTCGTTGAAAGAGAACCAAGGCCAGAAGAGAGCCATATTTCAAGTCAGACCAAGTATAAATATTTCCTTTAAAATTTTCAATAGAAACAAAAAGGAAGATGCATATAATGTATATAATGTTACAAAATAGGTGAACATTCAGAAACAGAGTAAATGCACAGTATTACTTAAATCAAGACACTCATTAAGTTCCAATGTATTTCTTCTTCACTAACAAACTGCTCCAGGAGTTAAAGAGCTAAGAGAGGTATTATGCTCACATAAGAAAAGAATTTCAAAGAAAACTCAAAAAACAAAGATGAGAACTTAAAAGCAACAGTCAGAAATGGACTCCACCTCCTCAATATATCGTTAGCACTGACAAAGTTTATAAATCCAGGGAGTCCTTGTACAATTAGAAAAACAGATGACAAAGTGCAAGGAAAAAAGCCAAAATAATCTGAGACTGAGTTCAGACTATTTTCAACTTTTGTAAACCAAATGATAATTGTATTTCTAACACACAAATGAGGTACTTGCCCCCAATTTTCCTCATATTTCTTCTGTTTGAAGAAGAAACACATTTTGCAAAGTTAAGATGTAATCGCCTAAGTAATAAACACAATTTACTATGTAACATTATATACATAAGTATATGATTTTTAAATTAGTAGACATTTTAATTTCTTGTTTTAAATGTAATACAATATGGTTTTACAATAAAAATGTTTCTTGAAAAATTACATATTTTCAAAAATAATTTAGGGCCAGGTTTGGCCACTATTGCTCATGTTAAGTAATTCCTTACTCCTCAAGTAGTCCCAATTTAAACAAGGCTATCTTGGACCAAGGTATCACTAAATATTAGTTATGTAACTTGTTACAAGTTCATCTCTTCACATAAAAAAGTTTGCATGCTATGGAGAGGATATGATAGCGGTGTTGTACAAAGTCATCCCGATTATGGGATGGCTACATTACTCATGAATGACAAAACCACATGAGAGTCAAGCAGGCTGTCCAAATAAATATGGTGATTCACTGCATAAGACAGGAAAATTTGACATAATAAATATTTGTTGAATACTTAAGCCAATTCACACAAGTCAACAAAATAATCACATTGGATTTCAACAGGACCAGAGTTTGGACCTTTGTGGTCACTGTTCTTTGTTTTCAATGCCTTGAGACATGCTCTATATTTCAGGGAACAAATTCATATTATAAATACAGGTTATCCATGATGCAGTATAGAAATGACTTGTGATGAGATTCTGAATTGATCTAAAATGATAGCGCAAGTCTAATCAAACTTCTGGCATAAAAATTAATTATTATATATTTCCTAATTAAAATCAAAAGGTAAAACAATACCCCTTTCCTTCGGAAAATTATATATAAATGCATTTCTAAAGGTTTTAATTATTTCTCTCTATTCAGAGAAAGCATAAATTGTGCAAAACTTGCAAGGGTTAGTTTTAATGGTAAAATTCAGACTGAGATCAAGTATGTCAGAGATCAAAGAGGCAGAGGAGAAAAAATATCTTTTAACCTTTGGGCCTTGCGGGGACTGATCTTGCCCCCAGCACCATTCAGAGCACGCTCAAGAAACGGAGAAAAATCCCTTCCAGGGATTTACCTTCCCCTTTAGCCGACTTCCACAGATTTTTCTCAAGGAAGCAGAAAAGGGGATATAGAGTTGCAAATTGAATATGAAAAATGATAGAAGAAAACAGACACAGCAAAGAGAGAAAAGATGTTTTCAAGTGTGGAATCAAGAGTCAGCCTATATCTCATGAGAAAAAATACAGCAGGACTTATTAAATGAAGACTGGTCATTTGTGTGGAGAGAGGCAGGGAGAAAGACGGAGCAGAAATCACGCACAAGGCTGGCTCAAATCCACAGGCAGCTTTGAAGACATGCAGGAAAATTTTCATCAGGATCCTGAAATGGCCTGAGAGAGAATCAAGCTGGCTGAAAGAGACACAACCAAGCCTGGATGAATCACTGAAAGCATCACAGCAGTCATGTATGGTTGCCAAGTTCTAAGATTTGCAAAACGTTAAGTGACAAATTCTACTCACAGGGTGCTGTTGCTGATCATGCATACCCCGTGATGCCATGTGTACTCGAGGATCTTGGCAGTGGAAAACTAATCCACAGTTTCCATAATTAACACAAGGTGGAAGGAACACCGGAGGAGAGAAGCAGCACCTCTCAGATGACACAGGGAGGTCTTTTGTCTGTAGGAAAATAAAAATTGACCGCACCCAAAAAAAAAGTGATACTACCTGCACATGTGGATCAAACAGAATGCCAATACAAGTTAATCCGTGAGCACTGATAGCAAAGAATGGTCCAGACCCACAACTGGCTACAAGGCTTCTATTTTAATCTATTCTGAATGCGGATAAACAAATACATCTCTGTCAAAGCCCCTTGAAATGTTTCTTTTGGATAAAGTATTTGATATCTACCTTGCAAGCACACTGTTATCTGGCACCAAATGACATTTTTATCTCTTGTAGCAACACTCACTGTTCAAACAATACTAACCACATGCAGACTTACATACCATGCAACCTAGTTAATGAATAACATGGACAGGACTGAGCCAAATCTTGAGGTCCTCAGTTTTTGCTGAGGCTTTAATGAAGCCCACCAATGTCAATGGAAATAGTCTTGGTAAGAACTGACTGAACCAAACAAAAAGGATTAAAAGCTGGAGTCAGCACCTCACAAATTGGCCCAATTACATAAGTACTTTGCACGTGCCGTGAACTCTCACAAACATCAGCAAATCAATCACAGACCCCTTATTGAATTAATTTGGGCCAGAGTTAACACAACGAAACATTCTTATCGAGTACACAGGCATTGTGCTGGTCCTCTGTAAATGCATGAATTGCATCCTAAGTGAACTCTGATATAGTGAAATTTCATTTAGAATACTGCAAGGAGAGCCCTTCTTGCTCAATGGAAAACCTCCATATATGTTCCAAAGAGAAAACTTTCTCTACTATGAGTTTATTATTATGGAGTGGTTTCAGAGCTTATCCTGCAGCCCTTACTCTCATCTGTAGTCCCAGTGACTCTGGTGGTACAATACAGATAAAAGCTGAAGGATCTGGCCCTTAAGGAGGAGAGATCAGTCGTTTAGAAGTGGGGCTTTATTTTTACTAGCTCTCAGAACCTTGAGACATTTCATGAATGGAAAACAGAAGGTACTGAAGAGGTGCACACACCTGTTTCTTTAGTTGCTTCTCTAGAAGTTCTTTTTCCTTCTGATACGCTTTCATCTGCATCTGCTGAGAAATAATTTTTTTTCCACTTGGATAAATCAACCATATTGACTGCCTGTTCCAAGGCTGCTTCCTACACAACTGTCATTTAAATTGCAGAAGACACCGAATACCACACATATACTGGAACTTCTACAGCACTAGAGCTGGAACAACTCTCACATATGTGCATGTTAGGATGAGGTCCTCCTTGGCTTATAGGCCAGCAAGAGGAAATTACTTTGGGTGCATGACACAGAATGCTTCCCCGATCCCTGATCATAGCACTGGAGAGGCGGTAGTGCCTCCTCTCCTCTCTGTCTTGGTGTTTTAGAGTGATCCCCCAACATGGACATGAAAGGCTGTTCCCCTCCCATGACCATTGGAAGGAAACTCTCTGCAGCCACTTCTACCCCCTTGCAGGAAACAACCCCAGCACAAATATCAATGATTTTAAAACATTCTCTAGTGCCTAAAAATGCCATTAATCCACAGAAATGCCCCACATCTACTGCGTGGGTAACATACTAGGGTGCCCATGCTATTTCCATGTGCTTGAAGGCATTTCCAGTAGCTTTACTAACAATTTTGCATTTCAAATGAAATGCCACCTCTGTGTCCTACCCTTTAATAATATGCTCTCATTGGAGACATATGCTGAACACCTGCTGGGAGGTGCTATATGTTGCCAATGAAGCTAATGGAAGCCATGGGCATGCAACACCTCTCTAGGAGGGACTCAAGTACCGTATGGGGGTATCAATCCCTTGCTTCTCTGACAACAGTAAAATGCAGTCTGCAAGTGCTGGTGTGTGGGGTTGGTGAAGAATCAGCTAATACTTCTGTGGTTAAATCAGGAAGTCCAGAGGGATGATAGTGGAGAACAGGGAACATTCCATAATGACTTGTCACTTATTGTAAAATGTTGCTCAACTTTTGTCAGAGAAGTTTTGTGGTTTCATTATTTTTTAAGAGGAGATTGCAAAATCTCAATTGTTTCTACATGTTTCATTTCGGTTCTCCCGTCTATGGGCATCACGCTGGAGATAAAAAGGAATTTCCCAGCAAATGGGACGAAACAGTTCAGACTGCTCAAGACATCTGAATGAGAAGAAGTTCTTCTCTCAGTGACTCTGGAGTAACTCCACTGTCTCAGGCAGGTCACTGCAGCAGAGCAGAATTTGGCACCACACATCTTTTATTTCCGAGTTCGGGCGAGTTCGGGGATGAGGCTGTATTTCTTACATCAAGTGTCATGCCAACAGAACAAATAAAAAGAACTGTGGTATTTAAGAGGTAGTGAATAGCTGATTGAGTAGTGAATAGCCTCAGTAATAGGCACACTCTGTCTACCTAATTTGGAAGAAGTTTCTAATCATCATTTCTCATCTCTTTACAACATTACTTCAGAATGTTTTGTCCCATGTGGCAACCTCAAATAAAATCCAATGTCAATTAAAGGAAGTAAAAAAGCCTTGGGTTGTATGGAAAGTGAGAAAAAATGTACATGTGCTGGCAGCTGCAACTTTCTTTAAATCATACCTGAGAATTTAGTTTGTTCAGTTGGGACTGTGATCTTTCGTTACGTTTTTGAAGTGCTTCTTTCTCTTCATTAAGTCTTTCTCTGTCAGCTCTCTCCTTTTTAAAGTCTTCTTCATATATCTGTACCTGAAATTAATATTATTTAGGAAATGTATTGTGGTAGTTCTACAGTGATTTTACAAACACAACAAAATGACAAGTAACTGCTAATTTACAGAGCATTTTTTAGACTGATCCCTTCTATTATACATCTACTATCAACATTTTTTCCATGCTTTTCCTAGCTTTAGCCACACTAGCTTCTCTGCATGTGATCCCCCTCACAATTTCATTATTTGTGGAATATTGCTATATAGGTTGATCCTCTCAACTGAGACTCCCTGGTCCGGTAGGACCATGGATGTTGCTGGACAAGAGAGCCCCAGTGGAGGGCCAGAAGCAGGAGCCCTGTGGAACCTAGGAGCCCAGCCAGGCTGGCTGCAGGGAGGCTAGTGGCTGGGAGCCCTGCCACGGGATTATGGCTGAGCTGGTAGCAGGGTGGCCGCAACACCAGCAGGCTCCAACAGGGGTCTGCTGTGGTAGGGCCAGGAGCCGGGGTGTCAGGGCTGGCGCTGCCTGGGAAGGGCTGGCAGGGTCAGGAACCCTGGCAGCTGAGCAGGAGTCTGCTGCAGGGAACAGGGGGAGGAGTCCCAACAGAGGGACTGCAGGCTGGCGGGGCTGGTGCTGCTCTGCTGGTGGTTTGCAACAGCAAAGCTGAGAGTCCCAGCAATGGGTCTGAGCAGCTGTAGCAGGGCTAGTCACACATGGGGAGCCTACCGGGAGGCCAGGCCAGACGCAGAGCCAGGCTGGGAGCCCAGTGGCGGGAGGGTGGGGGCAGAAATGACCTCCCCTGGACCAGCAAAATCCCTCCTTCAGGACCATTCAAGTCCCAATAGTCCTGGGCCAGGGAGGTCCAACCTGTATTTGAATGACCTGCTTGGTAACTACCTTTGGAATCTTTGCACTAATATGTCTAACATTAAGGGCCTGGATTCTTCAAGATTATTCAAATGCTGGTTTAAGAGAGAAAATATTTTACAATTTTTTCTCATTTTCAAATCCGCTTGAAAGATTAGCATCTCCAACTTCCGCTGCTGGATCTGCTGGTTCTTACCTGGCAGGCAGGAGCTTATAAAGGGTAGTCCCCAAAATGCTAACATGGTGATATATAAAACTGAGCAGCATCACTCACAAACAGAATGATGGGCTGGAGAGAAGTTAGGACCTACAAAGCATCTCAATGACCCCTTACTTGATGCACCATAAAATAAAAATGATTTTGCTGTTAACCAGCCATATTTTTATATGGGCAGCACTTAAGTCACAAGTTAATATTACTGCAGTTTCTCTGGTTCAGGGAAGAAATGCCATTAACAGAACCAGAGAAAATGGAAGGGTGGAATGGTTATTTTATCCCTGAATGGGGGAGACATGCACTGTAAAATTCTACTTCATCTCATACACTCAATGAACACAGTAATGTGCTTACACATCTGATTAATGCTTAACAGTGTTCATTTGTTGAGACTGGATCATTCATGTCACACTGAGTATCCAATTATGAGTTTGGCCTGGATTCTCATTTGCCTTACATTTTGTGTTGTCATTTATAACTGTACAGTAAACATAAATGTTTTTCCATCCACTTCACATTGGTGCAAATGACCACACAAGGGGTCAGGCTCTCATTCACAGGGTAGGCAGGCAGAGGAGTAGACAACATAAATAACTTATAAATCATTGTTTGCATTACCTCCATACAACTGGCAACATAAACTATGTGCTATAGACCTTTCTGCCAGTGTACATAGGGCTACAGATTCTTTTTCTGCATAAAGGTGATGCAGAATGTCAGCTCTGCCACACTGTCCATGCAAGACACCATGACCAGGGTTAGCTTATAGTACCTCAGGAGGGGACACCGTCACTAGTTGCTGCAGAGAACCATGTTCTATGTGTTTTAGCCCATCTATGATTGCCTATTACCCCTCCACAGTACCAGCTCCATAGCCTCATGCTCTGTTCTATGCTGCTCACCCCAACAGCCACATAACCATGTGATCTGTTAAAATTCAGGAACTATGCTATAGTTCACGGTAGAGACTTGTAATATCCCTTTGCATTGTAAGTTCTGATGCCCCAAAGAGGAGGTGTTACATAGCCTGTGTATTCCACCCTCCACCACTGGCCCTCCATTTTTCTCTTTCTTTGCCCCGCCCTTCTTGTTGTTCAGAACTTAGCCATTCTGTCACAGCCAAGGATGGGCCAAAGATGGCTAAGGAATGAAGAACACCATTGTTTGCATTACCTCCATACAACTGGCAACATAAACTATGTGCTATAGACCTTTCTGCCAGTGCACATAGGGCTACAGATTCTTTTTCTGCATAAAGGTGATGCAGAATGTCAGCTCTGCCACACTGTCCATGCAAGACACCATGACCAGGGTTAGCTTATAGTACCTCAGGAGGGGACACCGTCACTAGTTGCTGCAGAGAACCATGTTCTATGTGTTTTAGCCCATCTATGATTGCCTATTACCCCTCCACAGTACCAGCTCCATAGCCTCATGCTCTGTTCTATGCTGCTCACCCCAACAGCCACATAACCATGTGATCTGTTAAAATTCAGGAACTATGCTATAGTTCACGGTAGAGACTTGTAATATCCCTTTGCATTGTAAGTTCTGATGCCCCAAAGAGGAGGTGTTACATAGCCTGTGTATTCCACCCTCCACCACTGGCCCTCCATTTTTCTCTTTCTTTGCCCCGCCCTTCTTGTTGTTCAGAACTTAGCCATTCTGTCACAGCCAAGGATGGGCCAAAGATGGCTAAGGAATGAAGATATGCTATCATACAGATACCTATCCCCCAGGCCTCCTCCTCCAGACAAGCCTTCTGTTCCTCTTCATACTGCGTAAGATCCCGAATGACTATACTGATATCTACAGCTAGAAAAATACATTAATAAAACTGACCAGCTAGATTTCAGTTTCCTCAGGATTTTGAGAAATGGCGCACACTATTTTGTTGTCAAGTGGAATGAAATAACCCATTACCGCACACTAAAGTATAAGATTCTGTTCCCTAGCGTGTGGCATACATTACAATAGAGAGCAGACTTTGGCTCAACTGGTCAAACGTGACAGAAACAAGTATTTTATCCCATGAATCTCCCGGTCATGTCTCTTTGTGTTTCAGTAACTTTCCCTAACACTGTACAGGATAACACAGTGATTCCCAACCTTTTTTATGCCAGGGACTGGCATACCCATTCATAAGCCTTTGGCAGACAGATAACATTTTATTTGAATATTTGCATGCTCATTATCCAAATAATGAACATGCAAATAAAATGTTACTGGTCTGTCAAAAGCCCCAGCCTAGAGAGCCACTGAAAACAGCTGCCACATCCCCACCGCTAGGTCTCCTGGTCCCAGCCTCCTATTTTGGGCCACATGGCCCCAATCCTTGGCGGCAGCCGCCACCCACCATGCAGCCAGAGCCCCGGCAGCAGCTACTCCTCAACACAGCCTCAGCCCCAGCAGCAGTCAGAGCAGCCACCCTGCAATGCAGCCCTGTCCCTGGGAGCATCTGGGGCCATGGTTGCATGGCAGCTGGAGCCGCATACTGTGGTACTAAAAATAGCACCATGACCCCAGCTCCAGTCCTGGTACATGGGGTGTGCTGCCCTATGTGCCAGGACTGGGGGCAGGGTTGCAGTGCTATTTGTAGTACTGTGGCCCGGCTCTAGACTACTAGACTCTATACTACTAGAAGCTCGGTCCATTAAGCTCCTGATTGGAGCACATGTCCGGGTCCAGCAGTTTGACCAGATACTTAATCTAGAAGGAAAACAGGATGTTGTCTGAGGAACTGAGAAAGCTCCTGATCCACTGCTCAACTGGACCCTAACTCTTGACTCTTATGACCCAGGCATTGTTCCCTGACTCTGGTTTGATCCTTGATAATGCTTTTGGATTCTGGCTTCAGCTCATTCCTTAGCACAGCTTTCTGACTGAGTCTGGTCTTGACCCTCAGTGTGACTCCTGATACTAATTTGGGCTCCACTTTTGGCATGACCCAACCTCCAGCTTGGACTCTGGCATCTGACTCAAACTACTAGGTCTGACTACTCACACTCATGTCCGTGCAAGGTAATAGACTTGTCTTGGTCCTGTGTACAGTACTGAATTTCATACTATGACAACGCAGACCCCTGTGATAAAATGATACTGTTAGGATCCTGTTATCTGGAATAAAGCCAGACTGCCTCCTACTTTCAAATCAGGATAAGTTAACCAGACCATAGTTTTTGGGAGAAAATAGTACACTGCTAAACTCAGCCAGACTGACTTCCAGATATTCTCACCTGTTGTCTGAGAACTTCCATTTGGGTCCTCAGCTCTTCATTGTTGCAGTTCCTGTCAGATGTATCCAAATGAGGCAGAAGAAGGGACGAGTGTTGCTTCTGCAATGCATCCCGAAGGGCCTACAACAACATATGACCGGTGGCTTAGATTTGTCACATGAAAGGAATCCTTTTTTAATCGTTACAATGTTGGGATATAGGACTGAACAGATTCAAGCAACTCATGAGTTGTTTTGTACTGCATTTATAGTCACATTGCATTTTATTTGCTGTGTAAGACTAATACTTAGCTACCCACACTTTCAAACTGACCACATTCCAGCTCTTAAGTTTGGGACACTATCATTCTGGGACACTCATTGGTTAAATTTGCATACATAAATAGCATTTGTGCTTGTAAATCAAGCCATTGGAGGTCCAATTTACATTCACCAATGCTTTTCCTGGATGAAAGGATCAGAGTTTTGGAAAGCCCAGGTGAACTTTTTTTTGGAGAAAAAGAGATAGGTTGCTAAGATTGGGTTTGTAAAACTAAAGAGTTTTTAAAACAACATTTAGCCATTATCTAGCAAATAATGGCTAGAGCAGGGGCTGAACCAAAAGATCTTTAAGCACTAAAAGGACACATTTCTCCTGCAGGAGTTCAAACTCCTGCGGCTCTTAGTATGCAGTAGGTTGCACAGTCCCTATGGCGAGCCACTAGAGGGAGTCATGATTACAGTGTATTACTCCTGCTCTGCTTGTCAGTCCAACTCTTCTAGGATACTCGGTATTACTTTCCCTTTCATTATTTTTTTGATGTGTTTGACTAATTTGGGCTCCACTTTTGGCATGACCCAACCTCCAGCTTGGACTCTGACTCTGACCACTAGGTCCGACTACTCACACTCATGTCCCCACAAGGTAATAGATCTTAATCATCTTATTATTCCTCACTCCCCATAACCTATCATCAGCTAACAAATGTCAAGTTCCTTTCATATTCATGTAGGGCCCATTTCAACCTCTATTAAGGAGACCACATCTGTAAACAACATTGTATCTTTTAAAAACCCACAATTACTGGTAATTGCTTCAGACCATCCCTCCTCCCCGCCTTGCCTGAACCGATCAGAGTTATCAAACAGCTATCAACAGGCTTACAAGGAATTCATAGAGGGACTATTTCCTGATGTTGATGTCACTGAATTTCTTCAGAACGCCCAGTAGAGTATCTGAAGCGACCTGTTGGCCAGCTCCCATCCAACAGCATAAGGGAGAGAAGAGAGAGAGGGAGGACAGAGCAGAAGTTACAAGTCTTCCACCAGCATGGATGGCCACAGTAATCCAAAGGCTAATATTATGTGCCTTGTCCTCCATGAAGTAGTCAACCCCATTCTTTTACATAGGATTTGTCAGATGCAGATGTTTGGGATGAATGTGGATGAAATCTGGTTCTCTTGTCCCCCGATTCATGTGGTACACACCTGCACCTTGTTGACAATATACTTGCACAAAGTGGTTTAATATTTCTGATTCAAAGATGACCTTATATCATTGCTCCTTGATGGAATATTGTTTCTCCATTTCTCTGACTTTTTCATTCAATGTTATCCCTTCTCTCTCCTTTTATAAATCAATCACCAGGATATAGAAAGCTATTTGTCCTATCCTTTTTAATGCTGCTGACTTTATACACACCTTTAAAATAATAATAATAAAAAAACTAATCAAGTTTTTTAGATGGCAACAATTCCAACATACTTTAAGTCACAGATCTATGCTAGCTGCAGATTAGCTCACCACAAAACACAGATGGAAGTGGAGGAGATTACTGTGAATTTTCCGAGTATACCAGAATGAGTGACAATTGTGCTGTAAATAATTTTGCATGGATCCACTAGGAGAATTCAGAGATTATTCTGCAGCCCTCCACAGTTCTCATTTTTAATAGTACCTGGAGAGGAAGAGGGTGGGAGAAGTCTGTATCTGAAATATGTATTAAGCTACAACCTAAAATATGCGAGGACACTGCTTTTTAAGCAGTCTGCAAAATAAGTCTCTGCTTCTCTATCAACTCATTTCTTTATTTCTAATTATGAGCACTTACCAATTTGCATAATTTTAAAACAAATCTCATGATGCTGAGTGCTTTTCTTAAAGGCCCAGCTCCTAGAATCATGTGATGTGAGAAACAGTCCCTACCCCACTCTTACCCCAGATAGTTCTAGGCCTCATTGTGTGAAGAAAAATCTGGAGGGAGAAAAAAAAAAGCCACACACACGCACAAAAAAAACTCTGAAGGCCTAAAAAACAAAATGAACATTTTTTTGAACGTCATGATTTTGGGGCAGTCTGAGTCAATTTATGAATGCATGGGGCTGCCAGTGCTATAGACAACAGTTTGGCTGCATCTAGACTGGCAAGTTTTTCCTCAAAAGCAGATGCTTTTGTGGAAAAACTTGCCAGCTGTCTACACTGGCCACTTGAATTTCCGCAAGAACACTGACGATCTCATGTAAGATTGTCAGTGTTCTTGCAGAAATACTATGCTGCTCCCGTTCGGGCAAAAGCCCTCTTGTGCAAAAGCATTTGCACAAAAGGGCCAGTGTAGACAACGTGGTATTGTTTTGCGCAAAAAAGCCCCGATCGCGAAAATGGCGATCGGGGCTTTCTTGCACAAAACCACGTCTAGATTGGCACGGACACTTTTCTGCAAAAAATGATTTTGCGGAAAAGCGTCCATGCCAATCTAGACGCTCTTTTCCGCAAATGCTTTTAACAGAAAAGTTTACCGTTAAAAGCATTTGCGGAAAATCATGCCAGTCTAGACATAGCCTTTGTGTGCACTAGTGAAACAGCTATAGAAGAACCTAAATACCAGGCAAACCAAAAAGAACAATTCTTTTTCACTTATTGAATTCTGTATTATAAAGTGACAAGTACCTCCCTGGAAACAGAGTTCTTCCCAAATGTACATTTTCCCCTCCCTCCTCCTCAGTCCCAACCACAATACAAGACCCTAGCAGAACAGAACAAAACGTTCCAGTAAATTATTTTATGAATAGTTCGTCAGAACTGAAGTCACACAAAGTTCCTGCGCAAATCCCGTCAATGCATTTCAGAGGCAGCGAGAGAGACCACAAGTTCAGGCAAGTTCTTTTACAAGGCAACATGCATTTTCCTTGCTTTGAATTTAGCCTATGCACCACTTAAAGTTACGTCACAGCAATTTTTAAGAGCAGCATATTTCCTCAGGAAGCTTTTGTGGTTTACCAAGAGGTACTTTGTTAGAAAACACATCTTGCTTTCTGTGATCTCTTGATTCAATGCTTACTACATTTCCCTCTTTAAAAACAGAATTTTTCATTGTGCTGTCTGGCAGCAAGGATTTTGGATTCTAAGCTGTTAGATAAGAGACAGAAAGGTGGTTGGTGGCAAGAAAAAATGATCAGGGTGAAGCATTGGCTTGAAGCAAAGAGAACTTGGACATTATCTTCAATTGGAGTCAGGATCTTGCCCTATATAGCCAAGGAGGGACTGGAACAATGTTTTAAGGGGAGCAACATTAGTTAGGGATCTGAGGAGAGAGTGGAGGGAAGAGGCTGCCAATGCCAGGTAGAAGAATTTGAGAATGAACACTCCTGAGGCGAGGAGGACGACTAGGAACCAATTGTGTACTTGAGTCAGACTGGGAATTTGAAGCCAGAAGATTTGGAGGAAGTTTTGGCTTCTCATGCACAATCTAGCCTATAGAAAATTTATATTCCCCTTCTCAGTGACGCTCCACTGATTGACATCAGCAGCAAGCCTCAAAGGTGGGCTCGGATAATTCCTTTTCTGTTTCCACTAACCATCACCCACTATGCTGAGGCACACGGATAAGGCTGTGATAAAGGGGTCCAGGTCATGGATCCACAACACAGCAGATGGAGCAATATGGGAGGAGAGAAAAAGCAGCCCACATTCAGGGTCTTCAATATTGGTGTTATCTGATAGCCAAGAACCTCAAAGTAATTTAGGTCAAAGATACAAAGATTACTTAAGCAATATTTCCCATTTGATACCTCTCTGTGTCTATACCTTGTTGAGGCGACTTATTTCACATTCATAGTACTCTTTCTTTTTGGTCACTGAAGCTTTTTGTTCTTTCAGAAGTTTGTTTTCTTCCTTCAGTTCATTCAGTGCTTCACTTAGGATTTCTTTTTCTTTCTGGAATGTAAGACATATCGAAATGTTGATTAGGTTCAGATGGAAAAATGTTTTCAGACTGATTTTCAGACTATTGGCTGTCTGGCAGATGTGTTGCACATTTGTTACCCCAAGGAGTTGTGCCAAACTACTGGAAGGAGACGCAGCAGGAAAGCCAATGGGTAACTGGACCCTGATGCTATAAAATGTGCTGAGACAGCACTGACTCCTCACACGAGATTTAAAAAAAAAGACAACATACCAGATAAGATCCTGACCTCTTCGTGCACTTGGGTTGCACAAAGGGGCCTTGAAGCCAGGTAGCAAAACAGATGAGGTTGCAGAGAGATTATTACTCCAGCTGTCCAATATAATAGTCCCCCACAATAGTCCCCAGCACAGCTGGTGTCCTAAAAATAAGCTGGATCGCAGCAATGCTCCAGCAATCTCTGGTGAATGAAATGGTTCCTGTAACAGCTGACAATTTAGAGCAGACCTGAGGTTCTAAGTTGGAAGAGAGGCGGAACCAACTCCCAGCTTGAATCAGGCTTCTGTTCTGCTATGGGGACCAGAACTCCCTGCAGCTCCTGCCCCACATCCTGATCTCCCTATACCTGGGCTCTGTGGTTCAGGAACATCCAGAGAGTCCCAGTTAAGGGAGGTACAACCTGTCCACCAAAGTAGCTTAAGACTACCTTTGTCCCCACACTACTGTGTGGAGTGGAGCATGACGCTACTATTGCCCAATTAAGTATCCCTCATTAGCTCAGCCCTTTTACCACATCACAACTATAGTTTTACTGGTGTCTGACTGTAAGACACCAGTGCTTTCAGTGCAGTTAATGAGTGGAGTTTCAGCTGTGCAGAGTATCGAACTCCTAGAGTGACAGAGACTTTACAAGCTTCATGACACTGCTCTGAAGGGGGTTAAAAAAAAAAATCTTCCCTCGCTAGCTGCTTTAGACCTGAGTTATTCTGGCATTTTTCTAGTGTAATGTTAAAAGTTTAGGGCTTCTTGCACAAAAAGGAGAAATAAAATAAGAGATTTTCTGAGTTCTACTGCTTTGGGCAATAAAGAAACAAACTACAGGTTGGACTTCCCTCATCTGGCACCTTGAGGACCTGAACAGTTGCAAACAAGGGGATTTTGCCTGTCCAGGAAAGTCCTTTCCAATATGGCCCATGCTGGCCTGCTGCTTCCAGCTAGGGCTCCAGCCTGGCCCGCTGTGGCTTGCCAGGGTGAAGCTCTGTGGCTACCACCATGGCTGGAACTCCATGGTAAACACTGCCCCCCCAAACGCCACAATGGCTGCTATGGCTCCCAAAATCCGTGGCTGAGGCCGGAGCTATGCAACTGCTACTGCCAGCCCCTTGCTACTGTGGTGCCGCAGGGGGCGGAACTCCCTGCTGCTCCTGACCCACAACCTGACCTCCCTATACCTGGACTATGTGGTCCAGGAATATCCAGAGAGTTCCAGTTAAGGGAGGTACAACCTGTACATCAAACCCAAACCCAGTGTACTCCAGAGCACCGGGGGCCATAAAACCTATTCTTATATACAATGAGTGTACCTCAATGCAGTCAGCTACTGTGTTTTAGACAGTATTAAAATGCCTACAAAAAGAGTAAGTCTTAATGTGTAGATCCACCCACTGAAAAAGCACTTGGCAACCTTACATTTACTGACAACGTGGCTACATTCCCTTGCTCTACCAAATTAGTTGGAACGTTTAACTTCTTTAAAACAATGTGTAATTTAGCAGAGCATCTCCCGATTAATTAATTACAGATACATGAGTAGTCCCAGCAACGTGGAGCTTATATTTTTAAAGCTATAAAAACACTAATAATTGCTTTCATCTTTTGCTGCCTTGAGAGTTGTTATTTTTAAGCTTTCCCCTTCTCCTAAATCCCAACAGATGTAAAATGCTGGGGGGCTCCCCTTCTGATACATACAATCAAAGGAACATAACCATATCACTACCTCCAAACCTCCTCTGGTTCTTCAGTCAGTTCAGATTCCAGTTCAAAACTGCCATCCTCATTTTAACAACCCCCCCATAGACTTGCATCAGAACAACTCATTGAGCCCCACTAGTCTCTCTGCTCTTGTCCTCATACTCTCATGTAAACACCCCCTCTCTGTCCCTTCATACAATCAAAGGAACATAACCATATCACTACCTCCAAACCTCCTCTGGTTCTTCAGTCAGTTCAGATTCCAGTTCAAAACTGCCATCCTCATTTTAACAACCCCCCCATAGACTTGCATCAGAACAACTCATTGAGCCCCACTAGTCTCTCTGCTCTTGTCCTCATACTCTCATGTAAACACCCCCTCTCTGTCCCTTCATTCACCTTCCCCATATTTTCCCCCTCTCCTCTCCTCCCCCCAGCCCACCCCACTGTGAGCTGAAAACTATTTTCTGCAGCTGTTGGCCATCTGGGAAAGCCTTTCATCTCTTGGCCTTATTGAATTATCTATTTTCAGATCCTACTGGAAAAACATTTTTATTCCTCATTAACACCCTTTTAATGCTATTCTCCTTGTACTATTCTATTTAAAACTTTATTCTTGTTTTCTTTTCATTCTGTAGACTATTTGAGGTATATGAATGATGCCACCAAGTTGCATGTCACACAACCTTTAACCCAACGGCTCTCCAGCTCTTTCATTATTTGGCCCACTTCATGATACTCTCATGCAAAAGCCTTTAATTCTCATTTTGTTCTGCAACCAGGACGCAGTAGACAAAACAGAGTTTGAGAATCACTTATGAAACTCAGTTATTCTCTCTGCACATCATGCTCTGAATATAATGCAAGACAAGCACAGGACTACAGTAAACAATGTATTTGGCTTGCTTTTTCCTGAACGTGGAGCAGCCACTTGCAGGCTCAAGTTCCTTGGTTTTAGTTATTTAATTGCATTAAAAAAATTATTTTTAACATTTTAGTTCTGAGAATCAGATGGTGAATGTGCCCAATTAGAGCCATATCACTTAGTTGTAATTTGTCCCACACATCACATCGAAATGTTTCTTTAATTTAACAAAGGAACAATTTCTGAGGTGAACTAGGATGTGAAATCCCATGTAATTAGTTAATCAGTTAACTGTTATATTTAACTGGTTAACTGATTAAATAGGGATGGGTGGGGGCTGCTCTGGTTGGGTGCTAAAAAACATTTATTTGCCCTCCTCCTAGCTGCAATCAGGCACAGAGGCAGAGTTTAACAATACTGTTTAGGGCCCTGCAAACATGTATTACAGGGCAGACTTTGTCAGAGTAGTCAGCACACTTCCAGATAGTGATTTGCAAGACTGGGTCCAAAACAGTAGTAAGTTAAAGAGGAGCTCTTTAAATATTTGCATATAGATATAGTTGGCAACATGCATTATGTTAAACGCACAAAGTCATTTACTGCCCTACATTATCTTTAAGCATTGTGTGTAGTTAGCTGCATTTAGGCTCCCCTTAACATTTCGACAGTATTTTGTTTTATTGAGCATACCGAAAATTCAGCTCAGCTGGAGAGGGTAGAACTCATGGCACTGTGCTCTTCCCCACTCCCACTCCACTTCCTCCCTCTGCCAACTTCAGGCGTGTGACAGCCACTGGGAGTCACTAGCATCTCTAGAAATGGATCTACCACCTTCTCAGCAGTATCCCACCCGCAGGCAAGGCACCCGATCCCCTGGGCTTATCTCACTGGTGTAATTCAGCCCACGCGCCTCTCTCTCACTAGACTATGAACACACACAATCAAGTAGGTAAAGGGCAGTCCTCCTACCGCTTCCTGACCCGGTCCCTCTCTGGCCAGGGCTTGCAGCCTTTCACACTCTTGCTGATTCCGGTGCCTTTCTTTCTCCAGCGCACTGACACTCCTCTGTGATGCGCCCAGTTTCGCTTTCACTTCTGCAAGCTGTAAAGTGATCACACACTCAGAGCAGGCGGGTGACTAAAAGAGTGGTGCAGTACCCCCCCGCCTCCTCCAAAACCTTTCAACCTTCAGCAGCTAGGCACAAAGAAGCAGCAGGCACTGTCTGTATGTTAATAAAAATTCCCCCCTTCTTTCTTAAATCATACTGGTCTCTAACGAAATGTTATAAACACCCTGGATCAGATGCTGTCCATCATCCAATTAGCTCCACTGATTTAGCTGCCACTGTAGAGCCGTTAAGAAGCTCTGTTTTCTCCCTCATCATGGGTGCCTTCGGCAAAGATATGTCTGATCATCCAACTGAAGGGCAAAATGATCGTGCGCTGATGGAGACAAGACATTTGTATTCTCTCCTGTGTATAAGCAATACAGAGAAGAACTGTTTGGTCTATTAATGGAGCCATTTGGGATGGAGTGTGGGGAAATAAATATTTTGTCTTTGGTAGAAAACAAAAATACATAGGAATTTCTTTTTTCCTAGAAGGCAGATAGAGGAAGACCCTCACAAATTATGATTGTTACTTAAAAGAATAAACCTCACTTAGGCAGCTGAGTTTACTAGCCAACTAATGATAGTGTTTTCAAAAGTTATTGGTGGCATAAAACTCTCCTTCCACCCCATATGTGAAAGGAGGAAGGAAGAGACTACCAACTGTTTTAGCAACATTCTTCATAAAAATGAAGTAAAAGTGCTTATTTCAAATAAAAGAGGAAGCCTCTCATGGGGTATAAAATCCACCCAGGTATTAGGGCTAGCAAAGGAATCTTCAGGTTTTCCCCACAACAGGTATCAAATGGGATCTCCGAGCTGGTCATTCATGTACCAGCCTGGAAGGTAGCACAAGAGATGGTACAGGAGCGTTTGGATCTGTGGTTGTACAGATCCAGTATCTTTGGTACACACTAGAGACCTGCAGGTTAATTCCCAGGGAAACGTGGCTTAAAATAGCCACACCATTTTCATGATCTTGTGGAGGGTATGGGGATCCTTGTTTTGAGGACCATGATGATCATCACAGGATTTCAAAGACCACTTTAGATCTTATCTCCAGTAACTGCTTGCCAGAAAATCCAGATGCATGTTAATTGATATTTTATGTTCAAACTGAATTTTTCCTTTATGCGGTGTTGGGGGAGATAGAATGCTACTGTTTCTATGTTATTTTTCCACATTATGCCCGTAGTCTGGTTTGTTTTTAAGGATGTGGCTGCTGTCAGCTGGTGGCACTTTTACAGTCAATAGAAACAGTCAAACTTACCTTTTGTTCATAGTGCAGTTTCATACTTCTGAATTGTTGATCCCATTGCTTGTTCACCTCTAGCAACTGCAATTATCAATCATTTATTCTCAGTGAGCAACACTTTTCCCAAGTGCAATATCAGGTAGTTTAAACAGAATATTTTTTGAATCCTGTAACTAAGGAAGGTGTTCAGGATCTCCTTCTTATCTATGGCCAATTTACACTCAGGAAGAGGCAGTCCAAAGGCTGCATACTTTTGTGGCATGTCTTATTTCTTTGCTATTTGCATTCCAAAATACAACCACAGAAGAGGTAAAAACTTAGGCTTTCCCCATTCAGAATAAAATAGTTGGGCAGGGAGTGACATTTACATCATGCTGATATGCAGTAAGTTGCAGGTGACTCATTTAACACAGTAGCAATGCAAATAAACTAGCACTCCTGATTTCTTTTTGAAGTTACAAACACATTATTCCTTGTTTACAGTTCACTACATCCTGTAAGTTATGTATGATGAGGTGTTGTTTAGATATTGCAGACCCCACTCATATAAAAGTACCAGTGAGTTCTGTCAGACTATTTCACTAAATCAAGTGAACAAAGATTGGTCTTTATCATAATATGGCACTACCAAATTCATGGTCCATTTTGGTCAATTTCACAGTCATAGGATTTTAAAAATAATAAATTTCATTATTTCAGATACTTAAATCAGGAATTTCATGATGTAAATGTAGAAGTCCTGTCCCAAAATGATTTTTTGGGGGGAGGGGCCCACAAGATTTTTGTAGGGAGGTCTTAGTACTGCTGCCCTTATTTCTGCACTGCTGGTGGTGGCATTGCTGCTTTCAGAGGTGGCAGAAGTAAGTGAGACAATACTGCACCCCACTTACAATAATCTTGCAATCCCCAGATATCCACTTTCTCCCTGCAACTTCATTTTGGGTCAGGACCCCCAATTTGAGAACTGCTGGTCTCCTTTTTGAAATCTGTATAGTTTGGGGTAAAAGCACACAAAAGACCATATGTCAAGGGATAGATCAGATTTCACAATTCATGATGCATTTTTCAAAGTTGTGAATTTAGTAGAGCCCTCATCACGTGTGTAATTGGCACATGAAGAGCAATCAGTGAACCAATGCAAATGGTTTACACGCTTCAAATATGCCCCCTGGAAGTATCCTGAAATCTAGCTCACGTGGATCACTGTTCAAGATGCCGAAAAAAAAGAAACATTCCCAATTTGCTAAGAGTCAGACGCCCAATAAATAATTTGTTGCTGCTCAACATTATCCCTTGGCATTTACTGGAAATGTACTATAAGCATAAATAAAGTTTTCCTTAAATGTCTTATAAAACTCTTTTCACAGTTCAAGAAACCATTAACCCTCACCTTCACTATGCTACCTTATCACATTATTAGTGTGTTTTCAGCCCCAGTTCTACAAACACTTACGTACTTGCTTAACTTTATGTATGTGAGACAGACCAAAGGCTTCAGTGGCTTTAGTCACATACATGAAGTTAAGCATACGCTTAAGTGTTTGAAGGATTGGGGCTTTAGTTTGTGACAAACAGTGAGGCAAGAATGTTTTGGTTCAAGAATAGTGATAGAGATGCAGCCATGTTAGTCTGGTCTAGCTGAAACAAAAGACAGAACTATGCAGCACTTTAAAGACTAACGAGATGATTTATTAGGTGATGAGCTTTCACAGGCTAGATCTGCTAGAGAAGTAAATATTAATCAGCATTAGCAGCAACGATAATTTGGACCCTATGGTTTCCTGCGCTTGGAGACCAAAAATTATAATTACAGAATAGCATAATCAGTTACCTCTTGTTTCTGTCTTTCCAATAGTATGACCTGGTGTTCAAGGGTATCTGTTGGTCTGTTCTTCTTTTTTGTCAGTAACGTACACTTCCAAAGAAGGGGAAAACAATATTTTAAATAAATCCTTCTAAGTAATACCCCCAAATTCAATATTATTCTCTAGATCATTTATCTACCTCATGTGTCTATTTTATTAATGTTTGTAAAGACATTTGAAGAGGAATATTTCTATTTAAATGCTATATTTACACTACTCTCCTTTTAAATTTCCCTGGCAAGAGAGATGGAAGAAAAATGTAATTTACACTCACTTTAAGGCTTACTTAATCTGTGGTGGAAATGAGAATTGGACCCAACTGAAGTCAATGGAGCTATATTAATTTACACCAGCTGAGATTTTAGCCCATTGCGCATCACACTGTGTTACAGGTGGAATTCTTTTCTAAAAAGCACCTTCATGATTTTCTTCAGCTTTCTGAGTTCATTTTCTTTGTAATTTTAAAGATACTGTGTATTAAATACTGTTTTCCTGCCTCAGAACTAATTCAGGTCCCATGCTACAAACACATACTAGGCATGAACAGGCCCATTCATTCATGAGCATAAGTATAGTTCGCATTACAGGTTGAACCTCTCTCGTCTGGAATTTCCTAGTCTGACAATATCTGTGGTCTGGCACTAGAGAGCCCCAGCCACAGAGGTTGAGAGCAGCTGGGAGTGGAGCTGGTCTGGTCTGCGGCAGCCTGCAGGGGCAATGACCTGGGGTTCTCCAATCCCATCCCGCATGCCACTGCAGCTGCTCATGGAGTTCCCTGCCTGAGCCCCTCATGGGGAACCCCGGGAGCAGCTGCTGCCCTGCACTGGGCTGGGGGCAGGGAGCAGAGCTCCATGAGCAGGCTCGGGGCAGCAGAGACAGGCAGGTGGGCCCAAAGAGGTCAGGCTTCTGGGCTCTCTAGGGGCAGCAGCCAGGAGGGGGGCCCAAGGAGAGCCCAAACATCTGACTTCCCCTGGTCTGGCAAATTCCCTTGTTCAGGACCACTCCAGTCCCAAGGGTGCCACCGGGACCAAGAGGTTCAACCTGTATTCCAAGCAGCAAGCGTTGGCAGGAGTGGATCCAGAAATAGGCACATAATGAGTCCAAAATATACCGCACAGGTCATTTGTAGCCAGTATGGCTTCTGGCAAATCCTCATTTTTATATTATTAGCCCAATCGATCATAATTTCCAAGATGCTGCCATGGGTTCTCACATGATGCACACTTGCTATATGTAGAAGCAGAATTGTAACTGGAACAAAATATACATAACTCAGAAAAGCAGATTGGCTGTGTCAAATACTTGGTCATTAAAAGTGCAGTTTTTAGTTCCTCCCTGGACCAAACATCCAATCATTTTAGACCAAAGCTACATTATCAATTAGAGATCTGCTTAGACCTAATTTTAAATTCCGACCTGAACCCAACTAGATCATGGCCTTCCCGAATTCAAGTCCAGGCATGTCATGTTGATTTTGTTCCTGATCCAATCCCAACATTTGTCAGGTTCCATTCAGGTTGCAAAGGGCCCAAACTCCATTTTCATTACTGTTTTTCTTCTGCAGAGCTTCTCCCTCTCCTCACTCCTGCTCACCTTTCCATGACCCAGTCTCTCTCTGTCCCTCCTGAATCCATGTCAGTGCCACTGCCTTATCCTTGGAGTGTGGCTAGGGGGAGCTTCCCTCTCTCCATGCCCACAATCTACCTCTAGCCACCCCCTGCCCATGGAGTTGACCCACTGATAGTGGAGTTTCCCATACCTGGTAGCTGCCTTGCTGCACATGTCAGCCCAGGCAAATGAGACTCAGCCTAATCAAGCATTCTCAAAAGCTACCAAATACTGTACATTTTGCATGTTCTTTTTTTTCTTCATTTGATAAATATATACAGCTTTAAGGAGAAATGGCAAATTGTTTTAAATGCCACCGCTCACTCTTCCCAGTAGAGAAGCACAATGCTAGTAAATTCAAAGGATGCCATGGTGCCTTGTGGCTCTAATCTTGGTATAGCTAATAGTATCTCAGGAAGCTGCCTTGTTACCATGGCAATTGGCCAGGCCCAGGATCAGCTTCTTAAAGAAAAAAATTAAATATATTTTTTAAAAGTATGGAAAAGGTATACAGCAGTCCAGTAGCACCTCAATACATGAAAACAGAATGCATTCATTCTGACAAAAGACTATTTCAACACACAAGCCTTAATGATCTATTTACAAAAGGATACCTCTAATTGTCCAATAGTTCGCACATTTCCATTAATTCAACGACATGCCATTGATATTGCTCCCCAGCAGAAATGCTCACTTACTTGTGACTGGTCTTCTGATCCTTCTGGGCCATTCATACCTGTCTGTGACAGTCGAAAGAGGCTTCGGATGTCTGTTTTACGCCTGGTCTTTAAAAGAAGGCAAGCAAATACAGTATTTCCTTTAGCAGATGGGTTTGTACAAAAGAGAGGGAAGTAAAAAAGTTCTATTAAAATATAGGTCACAAAAACTTCACAGAAAATGTTTCCAACTAGCTCTGTGTGCGTGTAGAAGCAGCACAGAATAATACATAGGTGATCATGGAACTCTGATTTAAACCTTTTTTGTCTTCTAAACAGGGGCTTCCCAAAATGTCTCAAGCATGCTGTCTGTGACTAATGTATGAGACGGGACAGAGCTTTGTGTAGTGTGGTATGTAAATTGCAATCCCTTCCTTTACTGGTTGATTCTCTCCTGGGAGAGTAACTGGCACAGATAACGGAAGAAAGAATAAACTTTCAATAAATAGCTCTAGGGACATGGCTTTCTTTTCCCCAGTAAGAGAAAGATCTGTTTCCAGTTGGAACCACGCCCTTTGGCTTGCCTGAATATAAAGATTTTCTGACATGACATTAAGACATACTGTATTTCCTTATAAGAGAGAAGTTGATGAGTCATGTAATGGAGACTACAAATAATGCCTGTAAAAACTATGGGGAAGAAAACAGACAATAAAAAGAACAGCAAGTGTGGTAAAATATACATGCAGGCTGTGTCTGCATTGGCACCCCTTTCCAGAAAAGGGTTGCTAATGAGACACTTCGGAATTGCAAATGCCGCAGGGGATTTAAATATCCCCCGCGGCATTTGCATGAACATGGCTGCCGCTTTTTTCCGGCTTGGGGTTTTGCCGGAGAAAAGCGCCAGTCTGGACGGGATCTTGCGGAAAATAAGCCCTTTTCCGGAAGATCCCTTATTCCTACTTTCAAATTCCCTTTCAAGTAGGAATAATGGATCTTCCGGAAAAGGGCTTATTTTCCTCAAGATCCCATCTGCATGTTAACTTATGATGAAACTATTTCTGTGTTGTAGAATCTCAACTCCATTTGAGTGAAATGAAACTTCCCACAAACGATAATTGCACTTCAGTTACAATCCAGTCACCAGGATTAAAGTTTTTACTGCCTGGAAAATATCTCCAAGGCTTCCTCTCCTGTTTAGGTGGGGGTTTTTTTGTTTGTTTTGTGGGTTTTTTGGCACATTTTGAACCATGTGCAAGATTCTGCATGCTGCCCAAAGTTTCTTGATTCAAATCTTCACTAGTAAAAAGACTTTTTTGGAAACACCAAAACAATATTTCCTGAAATCTTAATTTGGTTCCTTATTTTGTCCACTTTAAAGGTCAGTTTTCCAACTTTGGGCTCATCTAGACCACGCTGAAGTTTCGAAAGAGGATATGCAAATTCTGCAAGAATTTGCATATCTTCTTCCCATCTCACTTTCGAAAGCAGAACTTTCGAAAATGAAAGTAGTTGGGACTTGGTTTTTTTTTTTGGCAACCCCCCCTTTTTCGAAAAGCCGCGTAAACCTCATTTTTTGAGGAAAAGTTTTAAAAAAAGGGGGGGTTGCTGAAAAAACCGTGTCCTGACTACTTTCAATTTCAAAAGCTCTGCTTTTGAAAGTGAGATTGGAAGAAGATATGCAAATTCCCGCAGAATTAGCATATCCTCTTTTGAAATTTCAGCATAGTCTAGATGAGCCCTTTGTGAAAATGGTCAGGGTACAATCAAGATATGGGGAAAGATTTTATTTTGATAAGGACATTTTGGATTATATAAAAAAGTTATTCTGACATAAAATAAATAAAATAAAATAAAATAAAATATTTATAGAAATTACAAGAATGACAAAAATGATTTTTGTAAGGTGAGGAGCAATAAAAGTATAATTAAAATTCAGGTTGGTGAGTAAATCTATCAGAGCTAGAGAGCTCACACTGTACTGATCACAATTTTAGAATTATTTTGTCTCAAGACTATATTGTTGTTTATATTATGGGGCTTTAGATATGCAGTTATGGATTATCATGACCAGTGAACAGAATATTTCCAAGGACCTGAAAGCTCTTTGAAGCAGATGATACTTGAAATATTGACTCAATTAAAAGCTAATATCGGGATGACCTTACTCATTCTGAATTGTTTTTACTTAATTTTTTGGGGAAATCTCAGATTACAGTAATTGAGGCAGAAAATGATTAGGTTATGGATTTGGCCAACACGCTAGGAAGGAGGGGGTAGATTGTTGTGGAGGAAGTAGAAATAGGATTCAGTCACAGACTAAATGCGTATGAAAGGAAGGAAGCAAAGCTGATTCGTAACTTGCTCGAACATTGTTCAGCTTACTCACATACGTAGTCCCATTGAAATCAACAGTATTACTCCAATGAATAAAGTTTTGGATCTGGCCCTGTATTGTCATTAACTGTAATACCAAGGAAGCTGGAAAAACCATACAAAACTGGCAATATTTGCTACTATTTTTGACATTCCTGAAATTGTATCACAGGAAGTTACAAGACTGCACTCTGCATGAGTGCAGTTGGTTTTCCACAAAAATGTGTCACGGCATTTTGGAGGTTTTTTCCCCTGCTCACCCAGCACAAGAGAAGACAGCAATTATTTAACTGAAAGATTCCTGTGGTGGTGAAAAGGAAACATCCCCAAAGGTCTCAAAATGAAGATGACATTTTATCAAATGATCAGGTTAATTACAGACATTGTCCCCCCTGTGGCTTCTTTGGTCCGAAGGGGTCAAAGCTCTTTACAAAAATGAGTAATATCCCCTCTTTACACATAGATCAATAGAGGTATTGAAAGCCGAAGGTCACACAGTGAATTAGTGTATTTACTAATAAATCATATATCCCTAGGCCTATGGTCTGCCTGTCTGTCTTATTTAGCAGGCATCACAATGCTTACCATGGCATTGATCATGCTGCCTTCCGGTAGAAAGGAAATAGTACTTTACCTGATGCAAAGGTGTTAAAAAGAGGGGGACAAAGGTATGGAGAAGAGAGACTGTCCCTCCACAGTTCCGTGGGAAACTGTTTTGCTGCCTCATGAAGATTGTTACAATCCCAAATCAGGGAAAAAGGTCAGAATCTCGAATTTTCTCAAGCGAACACGGGGGAAATATTTATTCTGGACTAATCTAAACATTTTGGGCTTCTTTTTCCATCTTCATGTGAGCCTTTTTTGGTCTAGTTAGCTTAAGTTTCTAAACAAGTAGTCCTTCAGCTGGAATTTTTCTTCCTGCTGCCTCAAGTTTCCCTATACGCTAACTGGGAAAGTCCCAAAATAAGATTATCTTATTGTCTCCAAGCATGTCTTGTCATACTTGATGTATGCTCATGGAAAGAGGGGCTGTCTTCATCTGTGTTATATAATGCTGAGCTCACTGGTAGGTCATGTTAATAGCGAGAATGCAACTGGAAAATCCCCAGGTCTGTTTCTATGCTTGTTTGAGCTCACAGTGTTAACACTATTAGCACTGGCACTAACTCAACTAGGAAATGAAATTAACCCACTGGAGAACATACAATTGTACCATAATTTCACTCCAAGTAGTTTCCAGGAAAGTTGGATTAACTTTAGGATGCTGACTAAGTCCTTAGTGTTTCATGCCTTTTTGTCAGTCTCATTTTAAAGGATTTTAACTGAGGCTTTGGGGAGATTTGTGGGTACACTGTACTAGGGTAATCTCTATAATCTCTTACTGCCATGCCTAAATATAATTTAATTTCCCTGTTAATTTGAACGCAATCACGGCAGCAATGAAAAACTGATCAGAAAAACTCCATGTCCTGGTTTAGCTTTCTAGTTTAAGAGAAGACTCTTTTCAGTTTGAATCCCACAACATAATTACCTAGAGAGCATGTGTTCTCTTTTTGGAGCAAATGATAGGCTCTAGGTGTTCCTTTTCAGGAAATTTGCTAAAGGAGTTCCCCACTGGATCCTTATTGTTTTATTTATGCATATATGGCACACTGGTCTTTGCCAGAAACCAATTTTGTTGCTCCTCATCTGTTGTAACATTTAAATAGTCAGCTGCAGTGTTACCTTTTAAAAAGACTGCCCACAACTATGAAAAAACAAATGTTAAAAGATAGTACCATAAATAATCCTCCACCAGATAGAGATAGCTTAATATTGCAAGTCTTTTTTTATTTGTTATTTCTAAGATTCACAGTTTCCATTTATGAATTCTCATTACTAAGGCTAATATTTTTGTCATGGTTATTTTCTGTAAAAGTGACAGACTATGGGCAATAAAAAAAAAATTCATGGAAGCCCATAACCTGTCTGTGACTTTTAGTAAAATAACCGTGACACAATGCATGCAACTGGGGTGGAGAGAAGAGAGTCCAAGGCATGTGTGCAAGAGGAGGGATGCCCAGCACCCGCTGCCCATGGTAGCTGAGAGCTGCAGGGTCTCCACGAGGTCGCTTGTAGCTCCAGAACTCCTGCCAAGCGATGCTCCAGCATTGCTGTCCGAGGGCTGAAGCATAAAATGTCTCTTAGGTCTATGGAAGTCACAAAATCTATAACTTCCATGCCCTCGGTGACATAATCATAGATGTATGCATTACCAAGAGATCTACTCTAGTATGCCTTATACCTTTCTTTCCCTTCTTTATGGGTTGCTGTGTGCGCACTCATATCTTTGTCTGTCTTTCAAACCATGCCTAAGGCTCTCTGAAGACTTTCTCAACACAAACACTTCAGACAGGATTTTATTATGTGAATATTTTTCTCCAACAGTTACTGTACCTGCAGGACTTGTTACAATCTTCATGTAAAATATGATTGAAAGTAATGTAAAAAAGTGATAACAAGAGTCACTTGTGATGTCTTGAGGGTGGCTATTTCCTGTTCCCAGTCTGATGCAGTGAAACAGTGAACAGCAAGATAATTCCAGCTGGGACATACAGAGAGTCTTTAAATAGGATAGTATGTTATCTGATCTTTGTGAATATAAGCTTTACCCATACAGATAAGGCTACGTCTAGAATGGCATGATTTTCCGCAAATGCTTTTAACGGAAAAGTTTTCCGTTAAAAGCATTTTTGGAAAAGAGCGTCTAGATT